AGGTTCAGGTGTGTACGAGAGTACCTACGTCCTTTTATTAACATTCATACTAGTGATTTTATGAGTAAATATTTGACAGTACTTACCTATGATAGTACCTACCTATATTACTGTTAATTTAGTTATTACAAACATTTGAAATTTTGAAATCAATGATATCACCTCACTGACACTCCGACCTACATTATAATATGGTTTCCGATGCGAAAACGATGGACAATTTTTTTTATTGTATGCACAATGTGTGATTTCGGTAATTTTTTTTCGCCAACCGACAATAATCAGGGTCCATGCAAATGCAACGTCGAGGGCACTACAATAGACGTCAATTAATGGCATACATCCTGCTCACAAGCCTTTCCGCATTCCCCGCGGAGAATATTATATTAAATCTGAAATCGTATTGCTCACGTACACACGCACTCACTCTCATACAATCTTCATTACACGCATATTATATTATTATTATTTTTATTGTTCACTGGGACCCATTGTACGCTGTTAATCAATTTTTCTTTCTTTCCGGGAGTCCATTACGCGATTGCGCACACAATAATAATACACGATGTATCTGTAGTTACTAGCTCGAGTACATATTATTATTATTTTAAAATTGTCATTGGTGATCAAAACTACACACCTGCAGCACACTCGTAGTAGTACACCACCGAGAGACGGTTTATATTATTTATTTAGGTAATTTTTTTTTTTTTTTATTCCCAGGGTAATAAATCTGTGTTGGTATTATATTTTATTATAATCGTCGTTGCGAGTGAAGGGAATATGGTGACGACGTTATTCAGGCATATTATTATATTATATATATGTAGGTACACATTACACATACGTATGTACTATATATATATAAATATATATGATAATGTAGGTATTATGTTATTATATTATACGGTTTGCAGCGTTTCGATTTACATTCAAATTAATTAATATCTCTAATAATCACGGAATAAAAGTAATATTCATGATGACTCGTTCGAACAGAAAATGATTAATACGATTCAAACATCATCATAATATTACGAAATTCCGATTATTGTATATTATTATACTATGTAGATACATAACATTTATGATATACCTATCTATGTAGTTGTGAATAAATTACACTCACCTCGAACGATTTTTATATTAACTAAAAAAAACAGTTGCAATTGATCAGGGTCGACCGAAACGATGGTCCCACCTATATAGGTAGGTACATAAATATTATTTTACAATGTCGGCCTTAACGGTATAGTTATAGATGCATATTTGAGGTTTATTAAACTTTATAAAATATTTAATATACACATCTTAGTTTTATGATTAATCCCAAGTAAAGCTGCCCGCACCCCAATTACTATTAACATGGACCAAAAATGTATATTATATACAAATCTTTTTGAAGTGCAGGGAGGGGCTTATCCCCCGAAACCGAATCCTCAGAATGACAGAATCAGACATCCACCTATGCTTCTACGGCATTATACAGTATTTAGTCATGCGTAATTCAATAGTTTTGGTACTTGAAATAGTCTCGAATCGCACAAATGACTTTTGGTCAAATATAACATCATAATAATGCACATTATTAGTAAGCTTATATGACAACGATTTCCGAATAGGTAGTATTGAGAACGTTACAAAAACTAAGTGATCAACTATAGTCACAACTCACAACTTTAGGTTCATAAAAGCACTGTATACCATTGTATCAAAAAATTGAGTTCTAAACAATACAGTATTATGGTATTATATATTATAATACTGTAATAGTATTATTATAATTATTATTGTAAAGATCAGATATTCAAATATTAAGGAAGTTGTTACATTATACCTACATGTTGTTTTTATTTTCAACATTTTCGCTGGTCGTCGAACCAGTCTTCTGCTTTTAAGCTAGATATTATATAGATACCGAAAATTAATGATTATAAACAGAATACTTTAGTATACTTGTGCTTATACTTTATATACATGTATAATATATATAATTACTGCTATAAGCACATTTATTATGCGTGTGTATATGAGTAGGTACATTTCTAAAAACTTTCGTGCAATTTTCATATTAAATTTGTCAGTATGTATCCCCTCTACATGTGGTACGTGAGTACCTATATATATATATAATTAATAATATATTAGTATAACCCGCCTGAATAATCCGTAACAACAATTTATATTATTTAAACAGGTTTCGAAATTTAATATGCATAAATTCACGAGGAATGATGAATGAATACGAATGTTGTGCAGCTGTCGGAGGAGTTGAAGATCAAAATGAAAAAGAAATTTACATGTCGAGTGCTCGACTCGTATTATAATATTTATACTAACACTTTAAAGGCACGTGTTACATATAGGTAATAATGGATAACAATTATTGTAAACGATTATTTTTTAAACTGGATAAATATTAGGTAGTTGGAATTTGGAACAGTATATTTTATCGCAATTTATAGACAAACGCGAGTGCGCGTGCGTACTACAGGTGTGTGTATATTTACCCTGACACGTTTAAAGGTAGGTACATTGCATAGTTAAAGGTATTACTGAAAACGGGTCCAGTAAAAAAAATTAAAAATATGTAGGTGATAGAGATATGTACCTACCAATAGGTATACGAAGTATATTATTAAAATTATAATTTTGCGCCGGCGTGTTAGCTGCATTGTTTATCGATCGATTATTTTTTATCGATGGTGAGCGTGCAGCACTTTCAACCAACGAATACGAAAGTTGTGGTCTCGCGTGCGATCGGGCAAAATAATAATAATATTACCATTATGTAGCTTTCTGTCGTCTCAACAGCAGCAACACAATGCGTTTAATATAATTGCTGTATTTTTCTGCATTCAACAATAATAACATCATCACGTTGTGTAGCAGTCGTTTGCACGCGTTATTAACCCGAAGTCGTCGCAGTCGTATAATATCGATATAATATTATTATATTGTAGCGGTCTTGAAAACTGGTCGTCGTCGTCGACTTTCACGAGCGTCCGAATAATAATGATGATGATGATAATAATAATAATAATAATAATAATATAATAAAATGTATAAAAAAAAATAAATATCGGCTGACGTTTCGGACGGGCAGAAAATAATAATAAAATAAATAAAATTCAGATAATATATTTATACTATGTGTGTGAATATATACGTATATAATAATAATAATAATAACTTAAATACCGTGCGATGCGTGCCCGTTTACCAGGTATACCTACAAAAAAAAAACGTACATTATTGTGTATATTCTATATAGGTAGGTACTTTGTATAGGTACACGACTTTCTCTGGCGCGAGACTTAAAGGTCATCTCCTCGCATTTTCTTCGTCTTCTTCTTTATATCACTTATTATTATAATATTATATACCCATAATAATATTTATTATTGTACACGACAGTGCGCCAAAATTCGCTTTCGTTTGACGTGTAGGTACCTATATAGTGTACCTATATATATATATATATATATATACATAAGATAATGAGAAAATAATAGGAATATAATAAAATACGACGCGATTGCTGGAACATCTACGGAACTTATGGTTTTTTTTTTATGCTCGGAATCACGAAGCGAATTATAAAAGTCGGATGTATGCATACACAGTAGGTAGGTACCTCCATAATAATAGTGATATTGTGCAATGCTGCAAAATTAAAAATTACGGTGCACAGTTATAAAATATAATACCAATATCTTATAGTTACCGTACAATGCAGGTATATATAGTATTGTTATGTACCGAAAGTACTTATCTAATGTAATATTGTTATGTGATGGGCACTCGTTCGCGACTTATAAATTAAAACGGTCCGTAATGACGGATTACCATATAGATGTACTTATATTGTAGGTACACCGCCATTGATACAAATGTTATATATCTTAATCCTTAACGGATCACGTCAATTAGGCTCGCACGACTCCGCTGTGGAAACATTCGTCGTCGCATTTGTGTGTATTTTTGTTATGTGGCTTTGGTATATTTTATGATCTGCGCAATTCAATTAAATTATAATAATATCGTTAATATCATAATAATGTTGTAAACCCAAGTAATATACGTGGAACATAGCGTCTAGTGCAGCATATATTATATTATACAGGGTGGAGCGTAAAAAACGCATGGTTTTCATTATTGAATAACTGGGACATGGTTTGATAAAAATAAGTAACACAAGCGTTAAATGATAGATATTTTAATGCCATTTTAGAATATACATGTTTTAATTAAGTTCGAAAAATAATGTCTTGAAGATGACGTCCTTCTTGATTGATACAAATTTGGATCCACTCCTGAAAGTTGCGCACGGCTGTCTCCAACATTTCATTCGGCACGGCTTCAATTTCCCGACGAATGGAATTCTTCAGATCATCGATTGTGCGAAGCTTGTTTATGTAGACTTTTGACTTTAAATATCCCCACAAAAAGAAGTCGCATATCGATAAATCGGGGAGCGAGGAGGCCAGTGAACATCACCATACCTTGAAATAACATGTCCTGGGAACATTTGTCGAACGACTTCCATGGATGCTCTCGCCGTGTGAGCTGTGGCACCGTCCTGCTGAAAAAATATTTCTCTCATGTCCACTTGACGCCTTTCAAGTTCTGGACGAAGAAAGTTGTTTAACATTTCAACGTAGAGGGCTGATGTCACAGTAACTGCAGTTCCTTCCTATTCAAAAAAATAGGGTCCAATAAAGCCCATCTTTGAAATACCGCACAACACTGTTACTTTTAAACTGTGGAGAGGTCTTTGGTGTAATTCATGAGGGTTCTCCGACGCCCAATACCGACAATTTTGAACATTTACGTAACCGTTAAGGTGAAAATGTGCTTCATCAGTCATGAAAACTGTAGCATCTCCATTTTCCGTATAAATTTCGTCCATTAAGCGACAAAACTCTCTGCGCTGCCCAAAATCCCCTTCCTTAAGCTGCTGGACAATCATTATCTTGTACTGGTGAAACTTAAGGTCGTTACGTAAGATGCGATGAAGCGAACGACGAGACTATACCCAGTGTTACAGCATGTCGTCTGGCCGATCGTCTTGGACTAACAAAAAATGCCGCTCTTACTCGGTCTACATTTTCAGGAATTTGAACTGAATGGGGAGTACCAGGTGGTTTTTTTTTCATCACTGATCCAGTTCTTCTAAACCCTGCAACCCATCGGTGTACAGTATTTCGATCAGGCACTGCACCTCGACGCCCAATTCCAAAATTTCGACGAAAAAGACGTTGAACTTTGACTACGGGATCATTGTTTCTAAAATACTGCTCTACAACGAACACACGATGCTCTACGTTCCAACGCTCCATAGCGACTGAAACGGCATTGGCTTGGCCGTCTACCAACATTCGTTCGAGGTCAATAAACCCTCCCGTTACCGTGTACTAGTGGTTCAAAAACTATGCGGTTTCTACGCTCCACCCTGTATATACAGAGTGAATGGGAGATTCACAAAGTATGCTCACTACAGTGGCGGATATATCCTATTTATGAGGGGGGGGGGGTGAATTTCAAATCCACAGAGGTAATGACGTTCAACCCCTCTCATGGGGTGGTCCGCATGTGGTGGCGAAAAGCCCAAGGAGGGGGGGTCCACCAATTACTATCCCCCTCCCCGATATCCACCACTGGCTCACTACAATGTTATCTTTTAAAAGTTGATTTATTCGAATTCTGATTTTTGTAATTTTAAGTGTATACCTACGTAAAGACTTCATTTTCAAATAATTTGTTTTTTTTACCATTCAAAAAGTATATTGTGGCGGTAAACCTCTTTTCTTTCAAATGAGAACCACCATTTTAACTAGATGATATTTTTAATATGATTAAAATAATGCTTCTAAATCGACATTCAAACAAATAGTTCCCGTGAAATTAAACTTTAAATACTCACAATCTAAAAAGTTCTGAAGATATTATTTGGCGTATAATAATATTATGATGATTTGAAAACGATATTGATTATTTGATTAATATAATTAATTTACTAAGATATAATGCATTGTAAAAATTGTCAGAGTATAATAAGAACTAGACTAAACATTACACCTGTTTTATATAAGTAAACTTCAGATTTTGATTTAGGTTCATCAAAACTTCGAAAAAATTATCTGAATACAAATTTAAGCTAGACAGAAAAAATAAATTTATACCAAAATAATAATTTATAGGACACTTTTTAATGGTAAAAAAAAATCAAGGTATTTGAAAATATGACCTTCCTATGTTTTTAAAAATTCCAAAACTCAGTATTTGAAAATATACATTATTATAAAGGATAAAAAGGATGAACTAGCATGCTTGGTGATTATCACCCTGTATAATATAATATAATATAAAGGTAAGCGGAACACAACCTAACCGGGTGCGATATTGTATTCGCATGTTTAGTTGTTCGTTGTGTAATTCATTCGCGAGTGTGTTTTTTGTATTTTTATTAATTATTTTCTATGGGAGACGGCGAAGAGAGATGTTTTATAACATAAAAACCAATAACGATAACGAGGACGTTTTAATTAAAAAAAAAAAAAAACCATTTATCGAGAGTTATCGCGAACCTATAAGGTACATACTATAATAATTGAAATACTCGAATTACACATATACCTATTATTTATAGTGTATGGAGTATAACAATCGAATGCTGCAGCTAACGCTCAGCCGAGAGCTCCAATTATATTAATTACAATTATTGTTATAGTCGTGTGGAAAATCGGGTTTTCCGTTTTCCCTAGTATACCTACTGTACACCGTAGATTGTTATTACTGTCGTCGAGGGAAAACGGCAAAGAAAATAGCACACAAATTGGGCGAGTCGCGGGAATAACGCCACGCGTCCTGCCGCTACTAAGCTACCCGACGACGTAATAATTAATAATTATAATAATAATAATAATGTATTTTAAAATAACTATTGTCTTGTGAAATCGTGGAAGATTGTCCACCGTCGACTGACAATAGAATTGTATCTGACCGAAATCTTTTCCAATAAAATGTGTGTCCGTATGTGAGGCACATAGGAACTGTCTCGCAGAAAAGTTTTATAGTAAAAAATTATTATTTTTATTGTTATTAATGTCTGTGCGTGGTACACGGAAAATTGTGACAGCAACGTGTTATATTGCATATATATATATGTATATATTTATATATTATATACATTATACATTGTTCTGGTCGTTTGCGTTCGTGACGGGTGTAGGACGAGGAGAAGATTTCCCCGTACCACACTGCAGACCACTGGGATCTGATACTTTCTAATTTTTGTTTTCCAAATCTGAAAATAAAAACGCAGACGAAAACCGGGAGAATATTAAATCCCTTCTCTTGGAATATTTGTGTGGGTACTGACTTCAAACAACAAAGTGATAACGATCGTTATTAATATTTATTATTATAATATCGGTAACGAACTCCACCAAAACGATATTACCTAATTAAACGCGGACACAGCCGTACAGTGCGTAGGAGCGACCACATACTACCGTAATAGTTATACCTTTTCCTCTATACTACTTATTAAACAGCGTAAACCTAAATATTGTATAAGTGTATAACAAGCGTTGGCTTTGAGGAGAAAATGGAAATATTAATTATATAAAAATTACAAAAACTGACAAGAGAACAATATTGTATTGTACACTACCTATTTTAATATAACATATGTATATAGGTACACTAAAAGATGGAATTCTGTGCGGTGACTATACAATACGTTATCAGGACGCTTACGGGCAAACATTGAAATCGAATCGGAAGAAGATATTATCGTCTTAATAGAGTTCGAAAACCGATTATACAATCATATGGAATCCGTGGAATGAATGTTTTAAAACAAATTGCCCACATAGAAAAACGTGCGCGTGGCGCACAAAATATACAATACAATACCATATCATAATATACGATACAATAATCACCCTATGAGTAGGTATGGGTACGAGTGTACAATATTATTTGCGAAAGTACGAACTGTACAAATACACATTAAAACACCGGTCGTGCTACTTAACCGTTTCGTTCGCCCGGTCTCACAGCTGTGTAGTTGTCGGAGACACGGCCGATCGTATTTTTATGCCTCAGTGTGATAATAATAATACAACGTCGATTGTCCCGCGGGCGTAAAAGCTTTCTCAATCACGACGACGTACAGTCGTCAGTCGTTATTCTAATTAAATTCCGACATTGAAATGGATTGATCGATCCGCGGGTATTATTTTAAAATGCACGACCGCAGCGAAATATCAAACAAATCCGACGGCCACCGATGGTAATATATAGTCCGTCGGAAAATCGTCCGAGTTAATGATATCCGAGTGTTGATCTAATTCGAAAAGCAAATAATAATAGTAAAAGAAAAACCAAAAAATTTAAAATCATTCTACAGCTAATGCATACACCTATATATTATTATACGTATCATCCTATACATATTACAATCCTCGGGACGGGCCAACTATAGCAGATAAACTCGATAATTTTCCATCTTGGATTTTATGCAATATTATTACAACCATGACAAAAATTCTGTAATTTATCACAATTCATATCGTTGAAATAATCTTGCGGTGAGTCTGCAGAAGGTAAGGTGAAAATTATCATGATATTATCGTATAATATACGCCACTACTTTGAACACACGATATCTGACTCGACACAATTTATCAACTTGAACTCTTATCGGATAGGACAGAATTTGCTTAAAATTAAAGAAAAAAAAAATGTAAAATGCTATTTATTCTTCTTTAACAGCTTAACGGTCCATCAAGGACCTGCGCTGCCACTAGTAAGCCTTTCCCTTTTTCTCTGTCCAAAGTCCAGTCTAACGTTGCATGCCCATCTATTAGTCTCATATCCTTTTCTACGGTGTCTTTCCGTCTTGTTCTTGGTCTTCCAAATGGACGTTTTTTTTTATTTATTTTTCCTATCAGAACATTTTTTAATACATTTCCATCAGCTCTCCATACATGTCCCAGCCCACTCTAGAAGTTTACATCTTATATATGTGAGTATATTTGGTTTTTCATACAGGTCACATACAGCTCTTCATTGTGCCTCTTTTCATAAATTCCCAGGTTGTCGTTGTGTATATATTTCTTAATATTTTCCTTTCCCATATAGCAAGTTTTCTATTGTCATCTTTTGTCGTGGACCAAGTCTCTCACATCCGTAGGTTACAATTGGCCTAAGATAGTTCGTGTACGTAAAATGGTATTTATGTATACGTAATTATATTATTATAATATGTACATAATATTATTAAAATCACAGGTCATAACAAACACATGGCAACTTCTGCAGTCAGACGAGAATAATATCACAATATGTATATTATATTATTATGCATCTACTCGTAAATAATATATACCTATATATTATATTATTGTTACAGTATTAAAAACGTTCGTATCCACATAATACACATATAGGTACGTATACATTATTATGGCAACGGCGGTCGTCGACCAACGCAAGTACGATCCCTATTCGATGTCATCCATCAACGGACTTATATAATATAATCCGTCCACAGGCGTGGGCCTCGCTTTTGTGCGCGCGCAGTGTAAACCTTCGTTATTAACTCATATTTTGTGTGTATAATATGCATTTATATTATAATATGTTACATTGCAGTATATACCTCACAATATATGTGTAAACACACAGAGCACACACGCACCTCATAACTTATATTATTATTATTATTGTTATATAAATACGGAGCGAGTATTATAATTCACTAACCTATATGCATAGGTACACACCGCTGGTCAGGTTATAGACTTCGGGTTAGGTGTACTGCAGGTTAAGTACTATGGTTAGGTTAAGTACTGTGTGCCGTGGCAGAGGGGAACCGGAGCGTGTAATCGATTTATTATTACGTTTACAAAATATTAATATTACTTACCAACGTTTTTTTGTTTTTGTATTATTATTATTATTCGGGAAGTACAGTTCTATGACTTCATGCTATACTTGGGGAGACACAAACAATTAATAACATGTTTTTGGCTTGGGTACAGATATTTTTATTTTCTAACCGATTTTGCGTAACGCTTTGTCTATCGCCGTAGAAACGAATAGCTGCATGTAAAAATTACCAAATTCCCACTATAGGTTATGCCTAGGAATTATGATTGATACATTTTCTTAGACAAGTGAAAAATATCGAGTAAGGTGTCATTTCTTTACGTCCTTTGTGAATTTTTTGATAGTTACGGACGAACGGTTTATAACTAGTATAACCCCTTCGAGTGCAGCTGATATCTTTTGATTTAATAACTTTTTCCTTTATTTGAGTTTCTATATACAATTTATTGTACAGAGACGTTTGAAATAAAAATGTATT